TCTTATGAAACGAATATTTTATACTATTTTTTCTATTTTGGTATTGTTTAATTAAAAAAAAAAAAAAATCTTGGAAATTTTATTCTCATATTTCTTGATTTCATATGTTTAGGTTGCTAACACTACATGCCAAATACGGAAATCTTCTATAAAATCGCGAATGACAGTTCGATGGCCATCAGTCAGCCCGCAGTGTTACCAACCTCCGATAAGTAGAAAAGGAGTGTCACAAAGAGCTTCTTTTCGAAACTACTTTTAGTGTCGAAAAGACTTAGATATGACACCAAAATAGAAAAATAAAGTTAAAGTTTTGCTTAAACTCGGTTTTCGCTCTATAATGTAGCATACAATAACGAATAGGCGGCAAATTAAATAAAATCTATTGATTAGGGAATACACGCTACTGGATTCATTTTCCCTGATGTCTTACAACTCGTACCGCTCTATATGAGTCACTGCGAAAAAACATGGGTGTTGAATTACAATGAAAGACTTAACTAAATAAATGTGCTCTTCCGTCTTTTCTAAAGTTAAGATAACACTTGACACCTCCACTGTTGAAAGGTTCTACCATAGATCTGAGGTGAGGGGGGTGATAAAAAAGTTATAAAACTGATGCCAAAGATTCCGTGCTTTATTTTATTAGTTTGATACCACACAACCTATATTTTCGGAGGAACAATTTTTTCATTATGATGGGGGGAGATAGGGGGTGATAAGGGAGATGATAGAAAAACAAATACGAAACACTTTTTAAAATTCCATGCTTTATTCCCTTCAATTTGATACCCCACAAAACATATTTCTGGAGTTCGTTTTTTTTATGATGATAGGGGACATAGGAGAGGTAATAGAAAAACGGCGAAACATGGGTCCTATTATCAATAGAGTCCACATATCAATTTTTAAACATTTGTGACTTTTCCTTTCCGAGATAAAGAAAATCCCTTTACCTCCTTCCGATATCAAATTACCCCTATTTCTCCGCCCTCAGTTGAAATTTCGAAAAACTCTGAAAAACGTGTTCACTTATTTTGTTGGTAGAATCTATATGCAATTTCTCGTTTCCAGGATAAAGAAATATTCATATATTATATCACAAGAGCTTTAAATTTAATCGATTAAACTATCCAACATATTTTGAGCATGATTTTGCTTGGAAAATAGTTGAATGCACAATAACTTTTTTATTTAAAAGTTATTGTGCATGAAACTATTTGCCAAAAAGCAAAATTAGGCAAAAAATATTTGGATAGTTTAATCCATTTAAAGGACATGGCACTAAATATTAGAATCCTGGTGATCGGCCGATTTTTTTAAAACTGCAGTATGTTATTCTGTACCTGAAAACAAGTATTTCTGCTTATGGTCACTTCTTTGTACGAGAATGGGATATCCCAGAAAATTGAGTTCAAAGTTTTTATATGAAATATTTTCTTTGAAGCATAAACTTATGTTTAACCGTTGTTTAACTGATCTGTTATGTGATTTTGCAACTTATACATTAAAGACAAAGCTATTTAATGTAGTTAAGGACAAACATTATTATACAGGGTATCTCAAAAATTATATTTTAAACCAAACTACTCTCTAAAGAAAGCCAATAACCAAAACAACTGCTACAAAACTATAATAACCTAAAATATCAATAATAACTAGAAACATTGTTACAATGATCACCAGAGACTATTTGAAGTAGCTGCTGTTCCTCGGTAACGATTTGGATTTAATACTGTAGAAATAGATCAACAAATACAAAAATATGCCATATACGCCCAGTTTCACAATTGGTGGTAGCCTTGTGGTAACCTGCACTGGCTATCGGACTCATATTTGCGGGTTGACTACATGGAATATTGTGAAGCTGACCAAAGGTTTTGGCTAAACCACACATTAGGAAACAGATATATTGTAGGTTACCAGTGTCTTGTGTTTACCGTTGGGTTAGGTACCACTGTTTGTGAAACTGGCCCTAACTGTGTTGTTAATACAACAGACCAATAAATATTCAAAATCATTAAACCGATACATCAAACATTCGATATAAAAACTTTGAACTCAATTTTTTTAACCGTTATTTTGGTTATTGGTTTTCTTAGAGTGTAGTTTGGTTTAAAATAAAATTGTTGAGACACCCTGTGTAATAATTGTTGTTCTTAACTACATAAATATCTTTGTCTTTAATGTATAAGTTGCAAAAATACATAACAGATTAGATAAACATAGTTTATGCTTCAAACAAAATATTCCATATAAAAACTTTGGATTTAATTTTCTGGGACATCCCATAATCGTGCAAAGAAGTGACCATAAGCAAAAATGCTTGTTTTCAGGTATAGAATAACATACTGAAGTTTAAAAAATCGACCGATCACCAGGATTCTAATATTAAGTGCCATGTCCTTTATAGGTCGAGTGCAATGACATCAAAACACAGATAGACGGATCATCCCATTCATAAACTGTTATTTGTTGTGTTGACAAGACCACCCATGGGCCAGGGGAGGTGAGTTGCTCGCGGGGTCGGGGTAGGGAGACATCATTGCTCAAAATGGTGTAAAAAACTCCGCCCACACGTGAATATATCTCGAAATATAATTGGATGAATAAATAAAATAACAAATTGACAAATAAACTGAAAATATTCGATACGAGCCCTTTATTCTGGGAGTACCAATATCGTATCGGTCGTTTCTTATTTAACGCTAATAAATAATCCCTGTTTGCGATAAAGATAGCTAGCTACTCCAAACACCTGCCTGCCATTCAACGAGCCGCTTCTGGGCGGTGTTTTGCTACAATCTGCTGTTGCCAAATTGAGTTCAGAAGTAAAATTGAAAACGTTAATTAGAAAAGGATAAAAATATATTATTTAGGGTTTCAAGACAAAATTTGGCATTCTCAGTGGTGGGGATAGCACAAAGACCCAAAAGAGACAGATAGATGTTGTCATACGAAAATTTTGTTTATTGTTCGGTCTATCTGTGTTTTGATGTCATTGGTCGAGTGGTATACGGCTAGATTATTTCTTGAATAATTGAACCCTATGCTGGAACAACGTTTCAAACGCCAAATTTTGTTTTGTTAGAAATTCGAAAAAAACAAAAAAAAATCGTTTGCTTTATCAAATATAGTGGATTTGTGCCTGATATAGATATAACTTAACTAAAAAGAACTTAGCATCTTATAGGTATTAAAGACCACATGAAGAATTGTGATTTACGAGCATATTTTTCTCATTTCATTCAGACAACGTTGTATATCCATGTTGGTTACAACGTTGTTTCATGAAACTAAGGCGGTTACAACGTTATTTTAAGACTGAAAACAAACTAGGGCGAGGTTGCACTTAAAACGTTGTTCCGCAAAAAGGACAAACTGGACCAATTAAAATGGCATCAATAACCCATAAAAAAAAATCCTTATTTAAACAAAATTCATTCAAAAAATGATGTTGTCCGAAGGGTCTATTTTATAATGAATGAAATAATCTGCAATATCTCAACCCCTATTTTAACCATGTTGGGGATGAAATTTTCAAAAACCTTTCCTTAGCGAAAGCTTACGTCATAAACCCAGTACGTCCTCCAAGTTTCATAACTGAGAGTCAAGTAGTTGGGTTTGCATGTTTATAGTTGATGACTTTCGTTCTTTTATTAGTATAGATTAGATAAAGAAAATACAGAAATGTTATGTTTTCCAAATGTAAAGTTAATTATGCATAACACTGAAATCAGCAGTGGTGAAGTCTAGAATAGCTATTCATACTCAATACATACACAGTACAAGTAGTAGAAAAATCTAATAACGGTACATAAAAAAATAATGTAATAGATGGTTAACCTTAGAAAAAATCTTAAAGCAAAACTATTAGAGCAAACATGCTCTATAGATACATACTTGTTTTGAACAGCAAATGGAATTTCTTAATTTTGAATCGCGTAGGATGGAGTTGATGTATTTGAGATAAGTTTTTGTCTGAAAATACCCAAATGGTGCAACATGCTATATCTGGTTGAACAAAACTTTGTCAAATATTTTCGAGAGTAATGGTAATATACTTATCTACTAAGATCTGAAATTTCTTTTAGATTATTATTTTTTGGAAGATGTTTTCCTAAGATTGAAAAAATATTGTCTTTCTTTAGAAATGTTCATGATATAAACAATATATTTGGTAATAAATGGTCTACAGTAATTAATCATATTTAAGCAAATAATATCCACTCCCAATGCATTTCATTAACTTCCCGGATAGATGTAAGTGTACCTAAATGAAAACTAGAGTTTCAAATCAACGAGAAATATTTTAATTAAAACCAAACACACTAAACAAACCTATTTTAAACGAATTATTTTTTCTGAACTGGAACGAAATTAGCACTAATTATTATTATGAGGAAGATCCCTGAATTTTTTTTGAAAAAGTTCATTTCGCACAACTGGTGTTCGACCTCCACAAAGTTGAACTAGGTCATTGTATTTGTTTGCATCCAATTTTATGGAACCATTATTAAGTTTCAATAAAGGTTGGTTCATCACTCCCAAAGCGTTTCTTTTCAAAGAGAGAGTATACTAATTTTCGGCAAGATGACTTTTACAAAAAGACGCGTATTTTGATGTTTTTTGACCATAACTTCTTTGACCTTTGTCCAATCAACATCTTCACCAGAGTCAAATTTTTTTATTGAACGAATTCTAACTTTTTCAGCCAGGGCCTCGTAGTTATAGAAATCATCACTACTCATTGTGATTACGTTATAGGGCATCAATCTTCTGGCTAGTTTTAAAATAGGAGGTAGTTAAGCAGGTATAAAAATATCTCCTGCTAAAGATCTGGCATGAGAAATTGAGCTGTACGCAGAATCGCCCTCGCTCTGACCATGATTTGTTTCAAAGTAACTTTTTTTTACATATTTTTTGCATTTGTAATTACATATAGCATCATACCTAAAACAATAGTGTTGCGGTTTTGGCCGCTACAGCCATCTGCAAATAACCTGACTTCCTTGATCCCCCGATTATCTAGCTCATTTAGATATCTTGCTACACATGTTGATATTTCGCTAGCCCCTCGCTTACTTATAGTTTCATCCCAAAAGAAATAAGAGCATTCTTTATTTCCGATATTGTAAACCGTGAAATTGATTGAAGAGATGCGGCGACGAAAAAATAAGGCACTCTCTTTACTTTTTGGAAGCTGTATGATCTGTTGTAGGTCAAATACAGCAACAGCTAGAACGCTAGGATTTAACTTTGATGTTTCTTTGGCTTCTTGCTTTTTCCTGCGAACAGATATCTTTTCAGCAGTATGATTATTATAAGCATCCTCGAATTCCAGTTTTCTCTTTTCATCAGCTTTCCTGTGTGACAAGCACAAAGTACAATAATCCTTCTTAGGATGATGAAAGAAAAGATTTAAAAATTTAAAAATCCGTCGATATGTATGATAACTACAATGTGGTTGATTGACATTATCGTTTTGGTAAAAATAGTACATTTTCTTCACGGTCAAATCAGGGTGTTAGTACTCTCGTGAAGAGGACTGCCTCCAAAAATGTGACTCCATTCTAGGAAATTTCTGAATGTGTTCTAATGCTGAAGCTCTCATTTTTGCATCATTTTTTTTTTTCAACATTTCATGTCGTCCTCCTCGTCTGTCCGGCTCTACTATCCCTTCTTCTGTTCTCTCAGATAAAGCCGTACGCAATGTCTTTTCTGAAATTCCCAATGTGTTTAAAAACCTTGATTTACAAACTACGGACATTCCGTCACTTTTAGGAAGGTGGTATACGAATATCGTCGACCTTCTTTGTCTGTCCTTTTTCGCTTGATAGCTTTGATCTGTACGTGTCGTACAATAAACTTCCTTTGTTGCTGTAAACTCTTTGTCACAGATTACTTACAAACAGATGCGAAAGAGCGGCGAATTCGTGGTTCAAGATCAATTTGATAGACATAGGCTGGCCGCACCAATGCCACATCAATGTATTTTGAACATATTTATTATATAAATGCGGAAGCTCAATAATATAATATTATTTCTTTAACTGGTTCACAAACAGCAAAAAAAATTTTTTTTCTACCCGCAAAAATATGTAAACACACAGGCTGGAACATGCTCACGTACTAGACCACGTTCATTGTCCTGACGCGGACGATCTTCATCTATGCGTAGGGTTGCTGGCAGCCTGGCTTCGTCACAGAAGATCGTCGACGGCAAGTATACGTACTTTCGCATCTGTATTAGGTGTCTTTGTACCATAAAAAGCGTTGAATATTTTCTGCCTTTTCACATCACTAATGCTGCACACTTTACTCTTGCATTTTTCACTACTACAAGGAGGTTTCATTCCTTTAGCCAATACAGCCTTTCCAGGGGTGCCACTGACATAAGCTTCTCTGTCTATTGCCCTTTCTCACTTTATCAAAGGGTACTTCCCTTTGTTGTCCATCCACAGCATACCTTCTGCGAATCTCTGAGTTAGTTTTCATACCTTTGGGAGGCAAAATTGGCGGTACATTTTTCTTATTTTCGGAAGAAATGTTGTCAACATGTTTAGCACAGGTTTCGTTGTTGATAAAATGTTCCCAACAATGCAACTCAGAATATATTTCACATGCTGCCCATATTTCATCTCTACAGTTTCTAAATGCATAGCTCGCTCTGTAGGTGGGGTCGTGATCACTGTTTAGATTTATATTGCTCAGGCTCTCTTTAAACACAATTTTCTGAAAACTCTGTGCAAACTGGAGAAGTTGTTTGAGGGTTTGTCTTACAATACTCAGTGGAACATTTTGGTGACATTTACTGCCAGTCTCGCTAATTGGCCTCAAAACGGTTGTAACTGGCGCAGCAACACAAAAAGCACTCTTGTATACAGTGGTGGTTCCTCCATAAGAGCACATGTGCACGTGCACTCCCAAATTAATATCAAACAACTTTAAATTTAATTTTATCATTCTTCAAATTTTAACATTCTACCTGTAAAGTATTAATTTAAAAAATTAGTGGCCAAATGCGCCAGCAAAACAAACGCAACCGGCAACGCTGGTATCACAGCGTCCACCGCGTCGCCTGAACGCCCCGTTCACTGCACATTTCAATATTAAATCCAATTGGTGGAACTATGCCCCCCCGCACTCTTTGTTCCCCGCGAAGGTCTAGCGACGTTCGATGTTTTAAGCTGGCTGGTGTGCACATGTAGTCAGTGCACTTTGGGATCGGAAGCGCTTGTTTTATATTTATTTCGATTTCGAGGGCGATTTAACTGAAAACTGTGTGTAGAATGGCGGGATTTCTGAACCCCGATAGCCTTAGCGTGCAATATTTAAAAACAATTAAATTTTCTTCGCTTTCTTTGGAGGAAAAAATCCAAATCAAATGTGTCGGCCGTCCAAAGCCAAATTTAATAATCACCAACATAACAAAATGCAAAAGTCGTGATTATAAACGAACTTTTAAAATGGAAACTTACGAAAAAACTGACTGGTTGTGCGGTTGTGATGTTAGTAATAGTCTTTACTGTTTTCCCTGTTTGTTATTTGGAAGCGATGAAGCATCAGAATGGACAAAATCCGGCGTTAAAGATTTAGTACATTTATCCGAAAAAATTAAAAAACATCAAAACTCAAAATCACATCTTACTCTTATCTTTCAATACAAAACGTGTCTGTGAGATTGAAAACTATAATACATTTATGTATAAAAACAATTGTTAGACCAGGACGATGTACTCAGTGAGGTAAGTTACTTTGTTACTTAATTTCTAGTTTATTGATATAAGATCCTTCAATTTCCACGATTTGATAGACCAAAAAAAGTATTAAATTGAGCTTAGTTGGTTGTTTGGTAGGGTAGATATGAAATCCCTTAACAATATTTTTAATTATTGGTAGGTAAACACATCACATAACTCATACGATCACTTACAATAAATTATTTTTTTAAAGGCCTAAAATAAACACTTCTGGGCGTGGCGTGGCACCCCGAAAAATTTCGCGCCTCCGGCGGCGCCTGCGGCGGGCATCCCCCTTTCGGCATTTATTATGAATTACAAATTATGTGCACCCCCAATATGTTATACCACGAGCCGCCACTGCTTGTATACTTCCTTTTTCCTGTTGTCATTATCCGTTATTTCCTTTGCACTTCTCGAATTTTCCGGCTTTTTATAAACTGAAGAAGCTCTTTTGATGTTTTGTTTCAAAATACTGAGGGGCAAATTGTCATCTTCGTCACTTTCTATTTCGTTTTCTGTTTGCATCATTCATTGGCGTATCCAGGTGATATATTCGTAATTACACTTAACAATTCTCAATTACATTTGATGTATTCTCAATAACATTTAACTTTTCCCAATTACATTAAATATATTCGCAATATCAACTCACTATTTTTAATTCGAAGTGATTTATTCATATATAATATCACAAGAGAAAAAATTTTGTCGGCAAAATTTTCGAAAGGTATGAAAGTTTGTTGCTGCGAGTGATTTTATCAAAAATGTCTTGAGTGAAATTGCCGAAAAGCAACAAACTTGAATAAAACCTTGAGAACAATTTTGCCTACACAATTTTTTCTCGAGTGGTATTCGTCATGATTATTTCACGTAAGATTTTGAAAATAAATAGAATGCAAAATTATAAATAAAAACTTCAAATTAAAAATACCAGTTTGACAATGTCAGAAAATGGTCGCTGAAATACCATGTTCTTGGTATTCTCCAGGTAGCATTATTGTCAGGTGAATACCGAATTTATTGCCGGTGTAATACACTCTAGTGAAATAGTCGCAATATTATTTTGCCATTCCTAATATTAAGTGACACATTCGCAATTACACATGGAAAAGGTGTAGTTTCATGTCAGCCATGTTCTGGAATGATTAACAAATGAGAAATTCGGAATCCTCGCATTTTTGGGGAAGTGACGTCAGTTTCCAATCCCGCGTTTTAGCAGCAGTTTAAAAATTCGATTTTCAAATAATTTTATTTTCAAAAATAAGTATACAGATATGAGAATAACTAATAGATAGAAAATTGCCTATTTTTTTCATGAATTCACATGTTACATACATACCCAAACGTTACGAGCCTATAATTTTTTGCGGGGCGACAAAAATATTCGCATCGGGCCGCTTTTTTTTTTTGTGGCAAGGTGGAGAAATTTTATGCAGGGATCCCTTCTCTCCTAGGAAAGGAAGTATTTCAGGGTCCCCATTCTTGAAACTGGGGAGCAGCGTTTTCAGGAAAACGAGTGTTCCGTCTTTTTCATTCACATTATGACATGAACACATGTCATTTGTAATTTTTCACAATACGTCGGAATGGAGAAATTCTCTAATACTCGTAGAGACAATATTTCTCAACCGTTTTTCTTTCATTGATGCAAAAATACGTTCATTTTTAACATTGGGTCGTATCACACAATACTGCTTACAAAAGATCCAGCGGATAGGCGTAAGTCCATGTTATGGATTTACGCCTCTTTTTTAGATTTCGATTTTAAATTGATGACGCTTACGCCCATTGAAAATGTGACTTTATCGAAAAAATGGATGTACGCCTGTGTACCAGATCATAGATTAACCGACTGGGAATCTTTTGGTGCTCTCAACATACATTTTAGAAATTTTGGCGTTTACGCCACTTTGCCAAATCAGCGACGATATATATCATTATTATTATAATGTTCAATTTTAGCAATACAATTATTATTCATATTACTAAAATAGGTCGAAAAATAATTACTGATATCCTCAGGAACAGATAGCTCACGAGGCAGGGGAGAAAGATAATATCTTGGTTAGATGCGCAGATGTTGCCCTACGTAAATTTCGAAATTAGGAGCACTAGGTAGGTGCGATTCAAATTCCAAAAATTAATACATATGGTCATTTATTATTACAATATTTTTCATTAGGTACTTATGAATACTTTTTTCTTTAAACGTTCGCATTTTTGAATGTGTATTCGGTGTCGGGATTTCTTACCAAAATATGCAAATAAACTAATCTAGTTTTAAGACAAGGTGGTTTCATGAGAAATTATTGGCTATGTTGATGCACTTATGTAATTACTCCGGATTATTCATCGAGTTCGGAGTCCGGTGCGTCAATTATAAAGTTAACCAACTCATGCATACACAGCTCACACTGATTGTCTCTAACTTTTTTACAAGTCCGTCTTTCGAGTTATTAGTTTTGCATTTACAAAATTAACTTTGAAACACTGCTTTATCCACATTTTTTCACATTTAAATTAAGCAGAGCAAAACTACCTACATTGAAATTTACACTAGGTACCACACAAATCTCGTGTGAGGTTTGCTAGTACTCCATCGGGCGCCTCCCCAGGTGGCGGATAGGGGAAATATGAGTGGTACCGGGGAAATTAAATACCCGGGGCGGACCAAAACTAGCACTGCAGCGTCTGCCTCAGAGTGAGCGGCTGAAAACAGCGTCTGTCCCAGAATGGGCGGCTGGATCAAAACTCACCAACCCGCCTAGCAAGCGTGGTGTGTTACTTGCCAACACAACAAAAATCAAAGAAACTGATCAACCTAACAATAGGAACGTACAATATAAGATCAATGAACACTGACGAAAAGATACATGAACTGGAGGAAGAGCTGACAAGAATAAAGTGGGACATAGTAGGCTTGTCAGAAACTCGAAGAAAATCGAATAAAATTGAACTCCGGTAACCTGCTATACTAAAAAGGTAATGAAAACAACAGTAACATTGGAGTAGGATTTATTATAAACTAGCTGACCCGGCGAACTTCGTACCGCGTCTGAATTATTAAATATACCTATTAAATGTTGTGTTAACGTCTCTATTAGCTGAATTAAATTCAGTTTTTTTCGATGGTGAATTTGGCTTTGGTTGAAGAAAATTAATGTTTACTCTCTGGATCAGAAGGCACCTAAAATTAAAATTTTACATCATCCTTTTTTAGGCAGCTTGTGGGCATTATTCTTGTAAAATGTACCACCAAATAAATAAACTCAGGCACAGGAATGTTCAAAGAATGTAAAGAAAACAAAAAAAATCTCTAGCGTAGCCCTATTTCACTCTATCTGCACTGCATGCACTGCACTACTACTACCATATGTTCTATTCTATCTGCACTACTCTATCTGACCTACTCTTTCTGCACCACTCTATCTGATCGGAATAGTGGAATAGTTCTGTGCAGCATTGTTCTACTGTATCTGCAATGCCGAGCTTCGTTCCAGGTATCAGAGATGGCGCGTGTTATAAGGTAGACACCTCAATGACGTGTAATGAGTTACCTACCTTATTAATGGTACCTGCATAATTAGCTGGTCTTAATAAGAGGTCTTTTTGAATATGTCAGGCTTGCCAGTCTTGTCAAGATTGTCCCTGAATTATTGTAACTTTAATTAATACATAATTTGTATTCAAGCAAGCCAAGTTTATTTTATTAAATTATTACATGGCGCAGTCGAGAAAGAACCAGTGGAAGTGAAAAATAAACTGAAAAACAAACAATAAGGCTTCAAAAGTCATTCAGAAAGGTTAGTGCACTTTAGTATAATTTCAGAAAATTTTCACTATACAAAATGGAAGGAAGACTTCCAGATTCTATGAAATTTGAAGGAAACCTCAATGAAAATTTTAAGAGGTTCCTACAAAACTTTGAAACATATATGATAGCAACTGAGAAAGAGGGCAAACCAGACAAAGTAAAAATTGCTATGCTTTTAAATATAATTGGAAGTGAAGGTGTTGAAATATTCAATACTTTCAAGTTTGCTTCGCCTGAAGAGAAAGAGAAATATAACAAAGTTATAGACGAATTTAGAAAATACTGTGCACCCAGAAAAAATAGGACCTATGAGAGGTTTGTGTTCAATAATCGAAATCAAGGACCAGATGAGCCATTTGATCATTTTTTTGGTGATCTCAGAAAACTAATACAGTCCTGCGAGTATGATTCCCAGGAAGATTCTATTCTTATTGACAGAATAATTATTGGAACAAATGATTTAGGGCTTCAGGAAAAATTGCTAAACATTCAAAATATATCGCTAGTAGAAGCCACCGAATTATGTAGAAATGCAGAAGTAACCAAAAAACGGATAGAAAAAGTTAGAAATAAGGAGGATTTAAGTGTCAATGCACTTGTAGAGGCTTTAAGGAAAAAAGATTATATAATTGAAAAAAGAAAGAATCAGGAATCAACCGCATCAAATAGTGAAAGGGAACCCAACAGCACAGAAAGAAAATTTAAGTGTTCTAAATGCGTTAACATACATGCATATGGAACGTGCCCAGCCTTTGGGAAGAAGTGTCACAGGTGTGGCAAAATGAATCATTTCATAAAAGCTTGCAAAACCAAAATACAACAGATAAGAGAAATCTCCCAGCAGGAAGGAACAGGAGACCAAGACCTTGGGGAATTATTCCTTTGTAGTGTCGTAAAAGTGGGAGAAGTAAGAAAGGACTGTAACATAGTATGGATGGAAGCAGTAAACATAAGTGGCAAAGAAGTTAAATTTAAGGTTGATTCTGGATCAGAAGTCAATATCATGCCAAAGCGAGTACTTGAAGAACTAACTACTGACAATTTGGTTAAGACCAGTGTAATTTTAGAGGCTTATGGAGGTACTAAATTGAAACCAGAAGGTAAGATTAAATTGAATTGTAAAATCAAAAATAAATCTGTGGATTTGGAATTCTTGGTACTAGATTTAAATGTAAAACCAATTATTGGACTTCCTAGCTGCTATGAATTAGGCTTTATCAAAAATACATGTAGTGTACAATCTGAAATTCAATCTATGCAAAACAGAGAGCAATTTATTAAAAAAAATATTGATGTATTTGAAGGGTTAGGGTCATTTTCAGAAGAGTGTAAAATAACATTAAAAAAAGGTAGCATTCCTGTTGCTAGGCCTTGTAGGCGAGTGCCTCTAGTCATAAAAAACAGATTGCAGGGTCAACTTAAAAATTTAGAGAAACAGAAAATTATTGCTAAAGTGAACGGTGCTAGTGAGTGGGTTAATCCACTAGTTATTGTTGAAAAACCTAACAAGACCTTACGTTGTGTCTGGATCCTCACGAACTGAATAAATGTATTGAACGAGAGTTTTTTGAAATACCTAGTTTGGAGGAAATTAGTAGTAAACTGGCAGGAAAGCAATATTTTTCTGTTCTAGACTTCAAAGATGGGTTTTACCAAGTTAAACTTTGTGAAGAATCGAGCAAACTCACGACATTTTCAACTCCATTTGGTTGTTATAGATTCTGTAGTTTGCCATTTGGCTTAAATTTAGCTCCGGAATATTTCCAGAAAATAAATTTTAAAAATTTTGGTGACATAAAAAATACAATAATATATTTTGATGATTTATTAATAGCAACAAATACTTTGGAAGAACATGATGAGGTTTTAAAAAGAGTGATAGATCGTGCTAGGGAAAAAGGAATCAAATTTAATAAAGATAAAGTTCAATTTAGAAAAATTCAAGTTAAGTATTTGGGTCATATTTTCAATAAAGACGGTATGAAAGTTGATGATGAAAAAGTGAGAGCCATTAATGAACTAAAACCACCAACATGTAAAAAAGATTTGCAAAAACTATTAGGTTTAGTAAATTATGTGCGAAAGTTTATACCAAGGCTTGGAGAAATTTCTAGTTCGCTTTGTTACTTATTAAAAAAAGAAGTAGAGTTCCAATGGTTGGATATTCATGACAAAGCTCTTCAAGAAATTAAAAATGAGATTAATAAAAATACTACTCTAATGAATTTTGATTTTAGTAAAGAAATTACAATACACACAGATGCATCCCAAAACGGTATTGGTTGTTGTTTAATGCAATGCGGAAGACCTGTAGCATATGCCTCTAGGGGTCTCAACGACACAGAGAAAAATTATGCAGTTATTGAGAAAGAAATGCTTGGCATTTTATATGCTACACAAAAATTTCATAATTTTATTTATGGCCGTCCTATAAAAATAATCACTGATCACAAACCAAATGTGAGTGTTATGAATAAACAAATTTGTCAGGTACATTCACCACGCCTACAAAGGTTAAGACTAAGGTTATTAAAATATGATATAAAAATTGAATACTTACCTGGCAAATTTTTACACTTCGCTGATTATTTATCTAGGAATTATAGCAATGAAATTTGTGAGAAAGATAATGACTTTGAGGATGTAGTGCATTCAATTGAAAGGTATTTGAGAATGAGTGAGTCCAGAAAGGAACAATTCAGGAAGCACACTGTTGTAGATGATGTTTTGAAACTAGTAATTTATTATTATACACATGGATGACAAGTTGTATGAATCAGAGTTAATAGTTGGGGAGCTAGCGTCAAAAACATGCAAGAGTTTTCGCAAGGCGGATAATTTCAAAATAGGTCGTACTTTAGTGTTAGAATGCTAGTGTACAGTCAGCACTCACAGTTCCGGGACAGCTGGCTCTG